AAACAAAATCATGTAAGGTCTTTCATTTGTAACTGAAACTGAATGATATCAATACAAACAAAAACATGTAAGGTCTTTCATTTGTAACTGAAACTGAATGATATCAATACAAACAAAACATGTAAGGTCTTTCGTTTGTAACTGAAACTGAATGATATCAATACAAACAAAACATTTAAGGTCTTTCGTTTGTCCAACTCCATATATATTATACTTAGATTAAAAATAAAGTTGTGCAATATCATAACAACCCGAGTTATCTATAGTAGCATAACAGCCAACGTTATGTGTAATATCATAATAGCCAAAGTTATCTGTAATAAAATAACAGCCAAAGTTATCTATAGTAGCATAACAGCCAACGTTATGTGTAATATCATAATAGCCAAAGTTATCTGTAATAAAATAACAGCCAACGTTATGTGTAATATCATAATAGCCAAAGTTATCTGTAATAAAATAACAGCCAAAGTTATCTATAGTAGCATAACAGCCAACGTTATGTGTAATATCATAATAACCAAAGTTATCTGTAATAAAATAACAGCCAAAGTTATCTATAGTAGCATAACAGCCAAAGTTATCCATAATTTATCATTTAACAGCATTTAAAGACCCTTATTTAACTAATTGATCACAAAATATCACAAATGAAGTCAGATACTATTAAATTACTTCAACAGCTTTGATAGTATTTTACATAATAATGATAATTTATGCTTACTTTTAGTTCTCTTGAATTCTCGATAACATCTGTGGAATCCTCACTGCTGCGTCTTGAGCTTGTGTATGATGAAGCATTTGAGACAAATGAAGAAGACCTTCCCTTTATTACAAAAAAATAGATCAGTATCAGTTAAATAATAAGTGAAAATAATAATGATAACTGTGAATCTGATATCAAAGAGGAGAGAGTAGCTTTAACAGTTCAAATACTGTGATAGCAACTTCTTATTAAACAACCTAACAGAATTAACAATTCAATAATAACTGAATGTAATGTTAACACATTTAGTATAGTTATTAGTAAACAAATGTTTGTGAATCTCATATTAACTACTTAGAAAAGTCAGCAGTTCAAAATCGTATTAATATCAGAAGTTTAACAAGTTAAAATAAATAAGCATCTGATTTCAACAGATTTATTAGTATAATTTCTCATATGTGATGATCATGAAGTTTTAGCAATTACCCTGTTACACAAATACAAGTATAAATATAGTTAGAAACTGATAATTGTGAACTTGAGACTATTCAGATGACTCCAGATTTAGCAGCTGAAATAGTGTGAACTGTGTTTTTTTTATCAGATAGAAAAAATTATACTATTTTTAGATTTCAAATACACACACACGTTTCTTTTTGCAAAAGAAAAATGAAATTACTGTAGCAACCAAGTCAATTCACACTAACATTCAAATAACATTAACGTTCATAGCAACCTAATCAATTCAAACTAACATTCAAATAACATTAACGTTCATAGCAACCCAATCAATTCAAACTAACATTAAAATAACATTAATGTTCATAGCAACCTAATCAATTCAAACTAACATTCAAATAACATTAACGTTCATAGCAACCTAATCAATTCACACTAACATTCAAATAACATTAACGTTCATAACAACCTAATCAATTCAAACTAACATTAAAATAACATTAATGTTCATAGAAACCCAATCAATTCAAACTAACATTAAAATAACATTAATGTTCATAGCAACCCAATCAATTCAAACTAACATTCAAATAGTTAATTTTTATATCAACCCAATCAATTCAAACTAACATTAAAATAACATTAATGTTCATAGAAACCTAATCAATTCAACCTAACATTGAAATAAAATCGTTCCTCATAGCAACCCAATCAATTCAAGCTAACATCAAAATAACATTAATTTTCATAGCAACCCAATCAATTCAAACTAACATTCAAATAATGTTAACGTTCATAGCAACCAAATTAATTCAAACTAACATTCAAATGAACACCTTAAAAGAGTAGATCCTTGCAGTAGAGGATCATATGTAGGAGACCACACCTCTGTAACAGGTATACTCTTTGCCCAGTGTGGAAAGAGGTATTGCAGACATGGGAAGAAATTGGGAGGAGCACATCCAAAAGGGAGAGAACAATGGTTGGATAGAGATCCGACCCACACAATATTGGAATCTCCATCCCATACAGTACATCAATGTGGGTGAGAGTGAAAGAATGTGCCTCTAAGTGTAGAGTGGCTTGGGCTCGACACGGCAAGTCAACTGCATCCAAAACCCAGCCGCCACGAACAGAGATCCATGCGATGTTAGGATGAGGATCACACCATTGGTAAGTCAACTACAATCCAAAACCCAGCCACCAGGAACCTACATCCATATGAGGGTAGGAAAGAGGATCATACTGTCTTCACCTCAAGTCCAACAGACCAGAGGGAATCTCGTACCCCCCGATCTATGAATGGGACACATGATAACAATATGATAAATTGTTTGACCGATCCAGGAACCCAACATTCAGATGTTCGGTATAGTAAAGATGTCTCTGTAATGTAAGCTATCTCACTAAAAACCAATCCATCAGGAACTGCCCCCAGCACAATAATATCCTCAGTATAAAAAAATTGTTGAGGGACAGCATGAGAGAAAGAACCGTATTAATCTGCAAGCTCCACCACCATGACCCACAACACGGGTGACGAGAACAAGAGTATAAATGAGTGAGGAAACAGAGACACCTATAATGTATGTGTGAGGACTTGGGTTGACTGGTTAGTTCTCAATCCAAAACCCAACAACTGGGAACTGACATCCATGTGGGGATAGGAAGAGGGATCCCAAACAAAGAGGTGAACTACAATTTTGATGGCTCACTCCAATGCTACACCATCCCCTCGGATAAACCCATACAGAGATGATGCATCAGTTTGAGGGCATCTTGTCATCAGCACCAGCAGAACACTACATCCTACTCTCAACTGAATGGTTTTATCATAATTTGTATTATATATCATTATCACATTCACAACAACTGGAAAGTGGTAAGGACTCCCATACTCCACTGGAAGAAGAAAAAAAAAGGGGGGGGGGGGTTGGAGGAATGTCAATACCAGAGACAGTGCAATGGGAGACCAAGAAAACCCTATTTTGAAAAGTAGACCACTCCTGATTTATTCAATCTAAGGAACGGCAGGGATGGACAGCTATCCCCTTCTGCTTTACCCATAAAGTCCATGAGTTAGTATGGTCTGGAATAGGCTAGTGAACGAAGCAAACATATCACAAAGAAACCAAACCTACAAGCAATCTTGAAGAACACCCCATCTCAACAGTGTGCATTTAGTGGCCATGGAAATTATAAATAGTAAATCATCATGGCCTTACAGTGTGGATTTGATTAGTTTAAGTATACCTGGACAGGCACCATTCGCCACAGAGCAGGATCCATAAAGAAAAAAAGGGACATGCCCCTGAAAAATAAGAGGTATATATACAAAAAGGTATCTTACCCAGTCACAGTTTCACCGAAGAGTGAAGGATGGCTACAGGGGGAAGACGGTGCCCTGACGAGGAAGAAACAGCTACCTGAAGTATATAATGGTACGATGAGGGTGAGATACAGGTGAAAGGGAAGGTGCCTAATCAGAGTTAAGATACCAGGATTTGACTACCAGGAAAAAGGACACAAGGAAGAAGAGGTCAATCAAATCAAAAGCCAAATCCATTGGGCATGGGAAGAAGGAAAAAGTCACAAACAGAGGAGTGGTGCCAGGGAATGAAACAGCAGGAAAAGAAACCAACGGAAAGAAGCCTTGAAGGCATTGAAGCAACCCAGAGCAGGTACGGGACATAGAAGACCAACCAGATCCAACTGGGATGAAAGGTGGGAGAGAGAAGGAAACAAGAATTAAAAAAAAGGAAGAACATGCCCCATGAGCCACCAAAGTGGAGGGTAGGAAAAACGAGTCCAGCAGTTTGAGGACGAAAGTGAGCAATAGTGGGAGAAGGTTGGGCAACCCTGAACCCAGAGGTCCTCAAAAATGAAATAAATTGTAAGAAGTATAAAATATAATTAATTACGAAAATGAAAAAGTGATTATAATGTAAAGTGTATATTAACAATAAAACATTTAGTAGATGTTATTTGTTGAAGAAACAATATATTTAACCAAATTTATGATTTAGCGGTAAGATGAATGACTGGTAAGCCTAAAATTACAAAGACACATGGTAAGCCTAAACTAACATTTTAGTACAAAAGGATATCAATAAATGTTAATGAAAAACCCTAACCTTACAAGAAGTAGGTACAAATCTAACTAAACATATGTTATTGAAGCCAAATAACTACAAATAATAATATTAATATCAAAATATTCAAAAAGCAATAACAGTTTATCTGTCAAAAGTCAGCAGACCCAAATATGTGGGCCACCAAACTCAAGGCCTGATGAAGGTCAGTTCATATCACCATCAATTTTCCAATGTATTAAACCTGACAATTCCTCAGTCAAGTACCACCATCTGAAGCCCAGGTAATTGTGCTGGAAGCAAATGAAAACATTCTCGAAGTGGAAACAAGCTTTGGTGAAAACCAAAAACAAGTGAAGAGCAATAAAGGTAAGTTATCTCTTAAAATAGGTAAAGTGAAGTAGAAAAAAATATAAAATATCTCCACTTCGGGAAGAGAGCAGAAAAAAAAACAAGAAGTGATGTCAGGTAGAATCAAATAGAGGAAGTCACATGCATCAGGAGGGTGTGTCACATGACGATTTGCATGCGAGACGCAATTGAACCACATTGATCTTGGGATACATGGGAGCTCAAGGCCTATGGCATGTGGGAAAAAAAATTGAATATAGAGGGCAGCACTGAACTAGAATAACTATTTATGTGAGCGTAGGTAATGTACCATATCAAAATATGCAAGTTATAAAGAGTGATATTTTTAAAGTTACATCGTAACAACAACAAAGTACAAACAGCCACAATACAAAGGTGTTTCTTTACACGCCAATACAATTTAAAATTAAAACAAGCCTTTTATACAAATTTTCAACAGCATACTTAAAAAAAAACTGGTTTTAAATTACAATTTTGTAACTATTTTCCAATCCTAATGGTTGTTTGTTTTACACATAAATACACACCTCTCGTGTAGGCCTTCCTCGCACTGTGTCGTTGTGTAGCTCATAGTGTCTATCGCTCTGTTGATCTGCCTGAAACATAAAGACAGCTCACAGTCACGTTATCAAACACTACAAAATCTGCCCTAAATATAAAAAATATACAATACATTCATTATCAAACACTACAAAGTCTGTCTCAAATGTAAAAAAATATTTTACAGTCATTATTAAACACTACAAAGTCTGTCTTAAATGTAAAAAAAATGTTACAGTCATTATTAAACACTATAAAATCTGCCTCAAATGTAAAGAGAGCTTACATTCACATTATAAAACATTACAAAATTGTCTGAAGTGTATATAAAAGAGTTACAGCCATGTTATAAAACATTATCCATATTATGTGAAATGTAAAGAAAACTTACATTAACAAGCACTACAAAGTCCGTCTTAAATGTAAAATATATATGTTATTGTCATTATTAATAGCTTACATTCACGTTATCAAACAAAAAATTGTCTGAAGTGTATATAAAAAAGTTACAGCCATGTTATTAAACATATTATGTGAAATGTAAAGAAAACTTACATTAACAAGCACTACAAAGTCTGTCTTAAATGTAAAATATATATGTTACTGTCATTATTAATAGCTTACATTCACGTTATCAAACAAAAAATTGTCTGAAGTGTATATAAAAAAGTTCCAGCCATGTTATTAAACATATTATGTGTTTGTTTTTGTTTTTGTAATTAAGCACAAAGCTACACAAGGGCTATCTGTGCTCTGCCCACCACGGGTATCGAAACCCGGATTCCAGAGTTGTAAGTCTGCAGAAATACCGCTGTACCACTGGGGGCCATATTATGTGAAATGTAAAGAAAACTTACATTAACAAGCACTACACTATACTTTTTTCATATTCAATTTGTCTTTATATATATATAATGGTTCCTTTTTCTCAACAACAGTTAAAGACGTTTTCACATACTGACAATATTTAACACTTATCACTTTAGAAAACTGGTAAATACAATTTCACTTAAGTTGAGTGATTCCAGGTTACTTTTTACTTTTCTATTTGTTAGTAAAAAGTTTATTGATTATGTACTAATTTTAAAGCTTTTCCCATTTAAAAAAGCTGTCAGTATGTTACTCAAGTTTGCTGATGTATCCAAACCATTTCTGCTTTCTCTTTCTTGCTAGTTTCATTTTTTGTTTCAAAATAAATAGCAACACAACAAACTGTTTACGAAACAAATAGCAACACAACAAACTGTTTACAAAACAAATAGAAACACAACAAACTTGTTTACAAAACAAATAGCAACACAACAAACTGTTTACAAAACAAATAGAAACACAACAAACTTGTTTACAAAACAAATAGCAACACAACAAACTGTTTACAAAACAAACAGCAACACAACAAACTGTTTACAAAACAAATAGTTTGTTGTGTTGCTATTTGTTTTGTAAACAGTTTGTTGTGTTGCTATTTGTTTCGTAAACAGTTTATTGTGTTGCTATTTGTTTCGTAAACAGTTTGTTGTGTTGCTATTTGTTTTGTAAACAATTTGTTGTGTTGCTATTTGTTTTGTAAACAGTTTGTTGTGTTGCTATTTGTTTTGTAAACAGTTTGTTGTGTTGCTATTTGTTTCGTAAACAGTTTGTTGTGTTGCTATTTGTTTTGTAAACAAGTTTGTTGTGTTTGCTATTTGTTTCGTAAACAGTTTGTTGTGTTGCTATTTGTTTCGTAAACAACAAACACAACAAACTGTTTACGAAACAAATAGCAACACAACAAACTGTTTATGAAACAAATAGCAACACAACAAACTGTTTACGAAACAAATAGCAACACAATAAACTGTTTACGAAACAAATAGCAACACAATAAACTGTTTACG